CCTAAGAACCTCTAATGATGGAGGGATTTTCCAGACTGTACAGGAAATTTCTGCTTTAGTGGTCTGGATATTTTCAGCTTCTGTTTTTTTTCACACATTCTTTGTCAATATTAAGCTCTACCCAGAGTCTACTTTCACTTGAGAACTGAGAAGGAAAATCTTACTAAATTACAAATTAATCTGAACATTTTGGTAAGAAACTGTGGGGTTTGGTGTTTTTTTTTTAAAAAAAGTGAATTTTTTGTAATAAAAACTACACTCCATTGAGGGTCTGGGAGGAGAGCTCAGGGGTGGAGGTAAGCTCTCTCATTGGTAGCGAAGAGAAATATCAAGCCTCTGATGCTTGCAATGGATCTTCATGGTCCCTCTGTGATCTGCCAGACAATCAGCATTTAAAACAATGCAACACATGACTAGGAAAGGTTTACCTTTTTTTTGTGTGCTTTTTTTTAAAGCTACACTTCAGAGCCCAATATGGTACTGTAAGTGCAAACATTTACTTTTCTTGTTTATTATTACCATCCTTATGCTTGTAAACTCAGACTGTCTGATGGGAGAAAGAGGCAATCCCATAGGACAGCATAGCATACCAGAAACCAGGGGGAATTCTTCATTTTCGAAATGCATCAAATTGAAACTATAAGTTGTACCATGTTTGCACTCTGTCAGTTTTAATTTTTTCCCTATTTTTTTTCTGACTTCCTAACCAATTGTGTTACTATATTACCTATTTGTAATAGGATGGAGTAATTCTGACTGTGATGGATAATGCCATGTGTCAGAGGGGAGCTGATCTCATTTCAGATGGGAAATGTAGGTGGCTTTTTGCTCAGCACAGCATAATTCAAAGGTTTTTTTAATTTTCTTGTGAAGCTGTAGATAGAGAGATGCAGCTGAGAGGGCTTAGTGCGTCCTCTGATCAGACGCAAGCAAAAGCCACTGAATGGAAAAGCAGGTCACTCTTCACCCATCGTATTTCTGGATGTTGTGAGACTCCGAAGGAAAGCACAGGCCCTGTGTGAGAGAGTGGTGGCTGCAGCAGGCAATGGGGAGGTATAAAGGGAACACAGCCATCCACAATGTTGTGAGGTATAGAAAAATATTGCATGCATCTAATCTGTCACACTTTGAGCTATGTACAATTTCAGAGTACTTCAGGTCATGTACCCCAGGAAATCTGCCAAGGGGTAGAGTAAAGACTATGTGCTAGTTCATAATCCTGTGAGCATTTGTTGCATAGTTTTAGGTTGCTATTCCCACAAGTTCTGTTTCATATTCCCTTGTAGAATTTGTTAACTCTCAAGCTGAATGACAAGTTGGATCTCGGTGTCAAGGGGTCTACCTGAGACATTATCTAGCATTTGATATTTCAGCAGTGAGGGCAAGAATCATTCCAACAGACATTCTAGATGTGAACCACATCTTTTAATGGCAATTTTTGGAAGATATTTAAGCTTTATTACTGCAGGAAAACATCTTCAAAAGTTTCTTGATTTACTATTCTATCTTAAGAACAAAGGGAGAAATTTATAGAAGATCAAACATATAAAAATAGAATGAAAAAGACAGCAGATGCTGTTGATTTACTGAAGAATTCAGAACCTTACATTTGGTGGCTATATTGTTTACTGATACCACAGTTTTGGTATTAATAACCTACACCCAAGCTGCACGTATTATGAAGCTTTTTTTAGCTCTGCTTTCTTGTGACAAGTACAAACAACTAAATTTTGAGTTGCTTGCTTTACATTTTGTCATCAGAAACATTAATTATGATGTCTGAGGTTTATTGACTTCTCAGTTCACTTTCTTGTCAGATAAGAGGTGGGAAGGGTCCATATGTGTGGTATGTCTAGGTATAATTCTTTAAGCCTCAGAACAACACAGTATTGACCAAGTGACCTGTTCAGGAGTCAGAACTCTCAGCCAGCAGAATTATTACTTTATAGCATTCTCTACCAGTAAAAGCTCAAATAGTTAAATGGCAAAATTAAATTCTGAATAGAGACCTACCCACTCTCTTTTTTCTCCTTCATTGCTCCACAGTGTTTCCCTGAGCTGTTAGGGCTGAATAAGGCTAAACATATTTTTTCTTCTTTTTTTCTTAATTCTTTTTGTGAACTGTCTGAATAGGTTAGTAGAATATGACAAAAACTGCATCCTTCTTCCCAGAGAGTGAGTGCTGCAGTGTTCTTTTCCCAGGAAAGGGGGACTGAGTTTGATCATCCATAAGGATAGATATTTCACTGAGCATGTAGGGTTTCATTTGCTCGATTCCTCCTGCTCAATTCTTTATTTCAAGGTAGCTGTGTGTAGTTGGTTTTCCTAAAAAACTATGTCTGTAGTGATCACAGTCTTTCATCTCTTCCTAATGTGAACTTGCTGCCTATTTTCAACCAAATGTAACTCAAGGTTTCAAGATCCTAGACACATTAAATTTGTATGTATTTCATAAAGAGAGGTGGTCAAATGGAGGAAAGATGGCCTGCTAGCTCTCCAGCTTGCACAAGAGAGCTCAGTCCTTATTAGGTGCTGGAGAATTTCCCCATGTTCCCAGCCAGTGTGTTTGTCCCCTCTCAGAAGCTGACACAGCTGCACAGGGGACAGGTCTTGATAGTTTCAGTACTAACCAGAAATACGAAGGTCATTTGAACAGAACTCCTTTTTGACCATGAAAACATATTTATTTTTTTTTCCACCTGTTGCAAGCAAACAATGTGACCTAAACCTTAACTATGAAGTGGAAGACATACCTTTTGGAGTTGAGGTGTGTATCTGCCACTACTCATTTATCCACTCTAGAATCTAGGTGTATCTACTAGTCTGTGTATCAAACAGTAAATTATTAGTAGTAATGTATTAATAGGGCACTAAGATCTATTTGATTGAGTTAACCTCTTTGCCTATCATCCCCAGCAAGTAGAAAAAGGTAGTCCTTCAGTCTAAATTACCTGCAGTACCCTTTACTTGAAGACATGGAAGTTATTTCCTTTACTGTTTTTTCTGAGGAAAGCAGAATTTATCTCTCTTTCTCCCTCTGACCTTGGTAACATATTTCCGCCTGGGAAGAAAGGAAAAGCAGAAAGTATCTCCTCATGGTTTTAAATGGCTTTAAACTGAAATTTAATTAAATTTCAGTTTAAAGCCATTAAATTAATGGCTTTAAACTGAAAGAGGGTAGGTTTAGATTAGATATTAGGAAGAAGTTCTTTAGTGTGAGGGTGGTGAGACACTGGAACAGGTTGCCCAAAGAGGTTGTAGATGCCCCCTCCCTGGAAGTGTTTAAGACCAGGGTGGATGAGGCTTTGAGTAACCTGATCTAGTGTAAGGTGTCCCTGCTCATGGCAGGGGGGTTGGAACTAGATGATCTTTAAGGTCCCTTCCAACCCAAACCATTCTATGATTCTATGATTCTATGGTTGTGTTTTCCCTCTTTTTTCTGTCCTATTTGTGGCTGATACAGTAGTATACTGACCCTGTATTACATCCAGTGTCAACTCCCAGTCAACTAGAATTAGTTCTCTTTGCAAAACCACAAAAGCAATCACACCACTTTGCATGTCTGGAAGCACTAGGTATGGCATACTTTTTGTTTAATGTGTGAAGCATTATTTTTGTTTTACTTCATTTTTTTTAAAGAAACAAGCCACCCTGGAAAAGTAGTCACTTTGACGGTCTAATGATCACTAATATTGGAGAAAGAAGATCTGTCATTTCATCTTGCTAAAATGTATTTTACCTCTGTGATAATATTAATTAGTACTTTCTAGTAGCTATGCGTTAGCTTAATAGTGAAATTGTGTGTAAATGAAAATGTCGCGTACTGGATTAGGTACTTGGCATTATTATTAAGCTGTGAGTCAGCTTGTCACATCTGAGAGAGGATCTTTTTTCAGTGCTGGTTTTCTATGACTCCACTCACCTGCAGTTTTGAGGAAGCACTATTAAACGGTCTGTTGGCCAGGCAAGACACTTGTACCACTCTGTAGCTATTCAAGGTGATGGGTGCCTTTCTGATTCAGTCAGCCATAGGACACATGCTCACTACAATTTACCGCTTTCTGCTCCTCTGTCACAGGGAAGCTGGTTTTACACAGCCAGCTGTTTGCGCTGCCCCTGAATACACAGAAATATGTTCTTTAAAATTCTGTTTGTCTTCATGCAGCATGCTCTACTTAAATCCTTTTATTTTTACTTGGCTCCATATGATCAAATGTATACAGGATGTGGCCTTCATAGACCACAAGATAAAGGATTCAGCAGAGCATGAAGAAACATCCTACATCTTGTTAAAAAAGTGTGTGTGTGCACGCACGCACTGGTTATGTAACTGTCCTCAATGCACAGCATTGCTGCGTGCTGCTGGCCTGCCAGGCCCCGCGTCGGGAGGCATACACACAAACTTACAGTCTCACTTGAAGTACAGTATTATGTCGATTAGAGGAACAAATAGGGTGGATAAAATTAGCAATGTAACTGAAACAAAGGTGCTTATAGTGCTTTCAGACTTTGTTGACAATATTCAGAAATAAATAACATTGGCATCTTGTTGCTTTTGAATTAAACTTACAGATATAACAGTTTTATTTATTTTCCATGGCTTCTATGAGGCCAATGAAGTTTTGAGGTATGAGTCCTTATCATTACATGCTCAGAAACAACCACAGCTGAATTAAATTGTTAGGGTTTAAGCGGTAAAATTGCATACTGTAACAAAAGCCTAGAACTGAGGCACAATCATATTTTCTTATAATTCCAAGCACAACTTGAATGTTTGTCTTCATAATATATATACCAAGGTATCAGGCCAGTAACTCACATATGTGGATAAAAACAGTTTCCCTTTGCTTTCATGCTCCCAGGGAAACAAAACTGTGTTATGCTTTAGCAAATTGGGCATAATTCATTTTGTGAGCAAACTGATCATGGAGTTCATGAAAGAAAGATATATGGATATTTATTTTCATGTTTTTTTCTTCCATAGAACGATATCACGCCGTTACATGTTGCATCAAAGAGGGGAAATGCAAATATGGTCAAACTCCTACTTGATCGAGGAGCTAAAATTGATGCCAAAACAAGGGTAAGCTTGAACGTGAATGCTGTGAGTGACTGTGTCAGTTCTTGCCTCTGACCTGTTAGTTGCTGTACAGCTTAAATAATTTATCTTCCTGGCAGGCTATTATTTTTATAAAAAGATTGCGGGATGATTCTAACAATTTACATCTCTTAAACCAGTGTGTGAAACACCACGTATGGCAAAGCTCATAACCAACAATTTTCCATGTTCTCTGTAGAATATTTAATTAGGAGCTCCTTCTAGCTGCTTGGGGGTAGAGGCAAGACAAGAACTCCATTCCAATATTTCAGAATTTGAATGCTAAAAGAATAACTGTGAACTGCAGTGTGTGTTTGCCTTTCATTATTCACAGGGCAATGTCACAGAGCACGATGTTGCTGATGAGTCTCAAGCAGCTCAGCCTTTGTCTGACTGGGTGCTTAGCTGCTGGCTAATGTCAGCCAATGTGCCAGGTGTAGTGACTGTTTCCATCAGGTCAACACCTGAGTTGAGGAGTTGTGTTCTTTTCTTTTACTTATGAAAATCCATGATCTGCTTCATTTTTTGTATCACAGACCCCAGGGTCAGACATTAGGATAATTTATGTAACTAAAAATACAGGCTGGGGTGGAAACAGGATCCAGGAAGAGGGCAGAAGCATTAATAGCGCTTGAGTCTGACAGAGCTTCCCAGCGAGGCAAAAGGCAACGGATGAGTGTGGTTCATGAAGTGGTGATTTGTTTTTTCTGGCTTCCCCCAGAGACTGTCTGTTTCCCCAAACACCCATCCTCTCCATAAATCAGAAGGGATTTGCATAACATTTCTTACTTGTTCTGTACACGTGCCAGTCATCATTGCACTTCTCTGGCATTACCAGAGGCATTGTTTTCTGGCAGTTAGTGACTCAGTGGAAGTTTTGCTCCCTGCGGCACTGACTCATCCTGGTAGGGGTTTACCAGCCTGTGGTCTGGGTGGTGTGTGGCTCTGCTGGAGACACTCAGAAATGAGCAGACAGCTGCATGATTGAGAAAAGGAAAGAGCAGCACTGGAGTCCTAGACATGGAATGGTCTTACAAAAATATAGGATGACAAAAGCTTCAGTCACATACTTTTGCAACAGCATCACCACTACTGAACGTATTGAAAGGCAAAGAGCAGCCAATACTGTCTTTTCTGATACAAGTATCAAGTCATGTCCAGTCAGAGCCCAGCCTTGTGGTGTTCTGCGAGGGACAGGTGCAGTTCCTGAATGCTCACGCAACTTGATAAACAGATGGGATTTGCACGTGAAAATAAGTGAGACTTCTGTTATCTCTCCTATAGAGATCTAGATAAGAGATGAACAGAATTTTTTTTTGTTTTATTAAAAATATTTTTTGTCTTGGACTCCATGATATTATTTAATACAAATGCTGGTTATGGAACACAAAATACCTCCTCAAAGGTGAATGTCAAAGGTTCTGTACCCATGCGAAAGGAGAAAAATTCTTGAAAATTACTTGCTTCTTTTGCTCAGAGGCAGAAATTCCTAGGCCTTTTGTTCTCCTTCATCAGGTCTGTAATTCACCTTCAAATGAGTATGCAGAAGATACTGTTTTGTGCTGTTGACTGAACACTAACAGAGCCAGGATTTGCTACTCTAACTCTTAGATGGGACAGATTTAGCTATTCAGCTGTCATTTTGTGATCTGTTCCATCTCTGTATAGGGTACTAGAAATAGGTGCCATGTAATATCTATTTTTCTTTTTCACAAGCATGCTCATTTTATACATAAATTCACATAAAAGCCTTTCCTGAGCATTAAATAAGTTGGGGTAATGATTTCTTTTCCTTAGCATTTGCGTTTGCTGCTGGCAGATGGTCCTGGAAACTGCAGTGCTAAAGTACTGCACAAAAGGTTAATGTGAAGGGCTAAATCCTTATCCTGTTTAGATTATTGTAAAAGTCATCCTAAAGACTCTCTATATTCTTTAGGACTAGGATGTGGTGAGCACCATGAATATTGTTGCACACCTGCAAACTGTAGTTAGGAGTTCAGATAATGAGTAAGCATATGAGGTTATTTCCAAAAATGATCTTACAACTATTTTGAGCCTCAGCAGTCTTTTTTTTTTTCCTCCTTTTAGTTAATGCTTATGTTGCATTGTTTATTTTAACCAGCTGTTCACCTTCTCTCTGTCTTTCATCTCTGTGTGGGATGTCTAGCAGCTGGTACCTGAGGCTTTGTACTCAATTCTTAAGGGTACTCCTCAAGAACTATATGCATCTTTTGTCCATCCAGGGAAGCTTCTATCATTCAGGTTTTTAACTAACATTCTAAGCAAAGACATATCAATGCCTCATGTAACATGTTTACTGAATGTTGCCCTAATTATTTTTTCTCTGTCTTAGAGAAAAGACTCTAAAAAATAAAGTTTAATTAGAGAGGTTGATTAAATTAGCTTGATTTGCTTTGGCTGTCTAATACTGTATATGCCAAAGTAAATTTGTGTCTGAAGCAGGCAGTAAGCATGTTTTAGCCTGGATTAACAATTAGTGTTTATAATCTTCATTTGACTGATTTTGCAGCTAAATAACAGGCCAGCACTCTTATCTGCATGAAAACATGTGGGATATGCTATTTTAAGATGCATCAGATCATATATAAGCTGCTCCAGAAATGTCACACGTATTAAGATACAGAATAACTATGAGAATAACACTGACTTGGCAATATAAGTGCATTTTGCATGTATAGAAGAACAAATCTCATTTATTGCCCTATTGAACAGAAGGGGCAGTTTGCAATAGCACCAATGAAGTGAAGAATTCAAGAGACTTGGAGCATGGAGGGACCGTGAGATACAGAGCCCCGCTAGGCTGAAGCATGTGCACGGAGACTGACTAAGCAGCGACGGGGAAGATGAACCCTGGAAGCAGCAGTAATTGCTCCCCTGGGAAGCACACCTTCTACCTTTGGCTCAGGGGAGTGGAGTGCCTGGCACACTCCTGCCAAGGCCATGGACAGGCTCTGGGATTTGGCTCAAAGTCTCTTGCTGAGTATTTGTGTCACAGTAAAGTTTTTACTGGATATTGTGCTTAATTTCATCACTCATAGACTGGGTTAGAAGCTGATGCTCTCTGATGTGAGAGTTGTGGTACTGAGGCTGCCATTGATTTGGGGTACAGCCCAGAGGACTGTGAGAGGGAAATGTAGGGCGGGCATTGGAAGGGAAGGGATAGCTGGGGAGTACAGGGAGGCTGGTTCATGCTTACTCGAGCTGCTCAGGAGTCTCTTAGAGAAACATGTGATGGCAGGGAAACACACTGCAGCGCAGGGAGGCTCAACTGCCTGCACCATCATCTGCAAACCTCAAGCTAGTTGTGGACCCCAATATAACAAAATCAGGGAGCTACACAGGTATCTGAGCCCCAGCAGGGACCAGAAAGAGTGCTTAGATCTAATTTAGGGGCGGGTGGGGTGTTTGAAATAAAAGCTAAAGAAAGAGCAGCAACCCCAGAGATTGGTGTGCAATGCTTATGGGAAGCTTGTGCCTAAGCAGAACTCCTCCTATTGTCCTCCTGGCTCTGCTGGAGCTGCTCTCAGGCTCTCTGGACGTATAGATAATACAGATGATATGATTTATCATGTCAGCGCATACTTGGAGAGTCCTTAATCTGCAGATTATTCTCATAATCATTTGTAATGGGTTTTTTGAGCCATTGCAGACTATCATATTAAGGCAAGTTTGCTTCCTAATACATGTAATATATTTTATGCTTCACATAGTATAGTCTATATGAACAGTAAATAAGCAACAAGAAAATCTACTGTCAAAATCAGTGAAGTCTTGCCAAGTTTAGAGCAGTCTCTTTTAATCTCAGTTTCTCTTTTTTTAAACAAAATATTTGTGATCTGTGTTTCAGATTGCCTCTGCACATTTCTTCATGACTTTTAGTGCCATATAGCAATTAACCAAGCCAGATGAATAGATGGTGTCTTTTCAGAATACAGATCTCTGCAGCTAAATGAGCTGTCTTCAAGTGTATTTGCTCTTTACAGTGGGAGTCCTGACATCGTCTTAACAACAGCTACACACCAGCTGTCCCAACAAGCACCTACGTTACATTGCAGTGTTGTGTCATGCCGTGTGATGCATCTGGTGGTGGTGACTGTTGTGTGGACTAGAACGAACTCTAGCTGGTGAAGCATGACTGCCTGCCACCTCCTGTGCCATAGGAACCTTGTCAGCCACAGGCACAAGCTGGGCAGGCTGGGGCAACATGAGAGGGTTGAGGCACTGTGCTCTGGGGAGCACTGGAGTATTTTTTAAGGGTCTAGTCTAGTGCATGAAGATGATCAAATGTTCTATGTGAGCTTGGTATGTACTACCTATGGTATGTTTGTGAAATGAATTGGGGGGTGTGGTGGGTTGACCCTGGCTAGAG